AAAGTGTGAATAAAATTAGAAAAGATTTATATGAGCTCTTACATAGAAGCATTTTATGATTAAAAAGTTGATATTTATTCATATTATTACATATGCCAGGCGGAAATAGGTACTGAAATAATGATATAAATAGTTTAAGATGTAAGCAAAAAAATAATATTTTTTTAATGATTTCTTAAGTCTAATAGTAGATGTAATTTTCATGATTTGATTTAATTTGTATGACTTAAGTGCAATGATAATAATTAAATATAGAATTCACTGTTACAGCGACGTCTGTCTTTCTCCGTCTAATCAGAATTTCCGTTTCGTAATAGTTAATTCAGTTTACGTATGCTAGTGTAAGATATGAAAATCAACTACATAATTCACTGTCAGCACGACAAAATTCTATCTCGCACAATTAAAACTTCCGTTTCGCAACGGCCGGATTCTGTATGGTGTGATGATCCGAAGTCATCATCATAATTATTAAATAAAATCAAAGATTTGATTATTGCATTATTAACAGCATTATTAATAGTTTAATGTGCATCCTCAGCACTTTTAGACGTCTTAAAAACTTATCAAAAATCTTATCAAAAAAATGGATCGCGTTTGATACATCTCTGAATGTCAGCTGTAAAAAAAGAAACAATATAAGGACGGAGGATTGCGTCTTAAATTTGAAAACGAACTCTGAAGCGGAAGAAGGACGCGGTCTGTCGTCGTCCGGAGAAACAATTTCCACGATGAGTGGCGGCGCGCGAGAAAGAATTTCCAAATGAAATGTATTTTCCGCGAGACGATGTCCACGGTGAGGCGAGGACGGCTCTCGAAGCTCTCGGAAAAAATAAGGCTAATTTCGAGGCGTTTATGTACGGAAACGTAGCGGAACGATGAACCGGAAATACTCGACGAGAGTAATCAATTCTCGTCCTGTGAGACGTGAAAGTTTTCTCATCTTTTAACGCTCGCGCGTAGTTATTAGAAACTTTGTAATACAAAGTGAATACATGAGCGCTAATGATCGCTTCGAACAAGCTTTCTGTCGCGTGCGTCATTGAAATGTGTATCTTTGTGTCTTTTTATGACGGATCGAGCTCTCTATTACCGCAACCCAAGTCTACTAAGAGAAGTTGCCGCTGCGTCGCGAAAATGTGTTACTCTCTGACGGTTTCGTCGTGCGAAAGAAACAGAGTCTACCCCAGAAACAATTTCTTGCGACGCCGTGCGGGGTTGGTTGGTGGAAATATGAAGAAAACGACCGCAAGCGGAGCATTTTCGTCCAGCAGTTTTAGATATGATTAAAAATGAAGTTGCGCTGTAAGAAAATAAATGCTATCCATTACCGTAATCCTGGAAATGGTGGAGTGTTGTTCTCCTCGCAGATTATATAACCGGGAAGCGTCCTGGCACTATCGCGACCACTTCCATCTACGGAATCAATTAAGCTTGTTGGACCGCGGTAATATCTTTTTCATTTTGAGAAGCCCGGAGAGAATCGCGCTAATATTTATAGTACCTAAAATTAGCAGTAGCACAAATCTAGGTAACCTAGCGGGGAATCTAGGGTTGATTGGCCCGGTTAACTTGACCATAGATTTTTCCAACAAAGTTCGTAGTCAGCTGATAACAATGTATACTGAAGAAACACCATTATGCGCGTTACATGAAGTAGCCGGGTGGAAATAGGTGTAGAAGAACTTAGCTTCTGCCTATCCAAATATTTGCGCATTTCAGTTCCAACGATCATCCCGGCGTATGTGATAAAGAATATCCGTTAAAACATACCGTGCCGTCGCATTTTACAGCAATTACAACAACGATCTCACAAATATGATACAGCCGCGATGTACGTAATTTTCACACCTCGCTATTCCCGCCAGTTTTCTCGTAAATAAACTGCATAAGTGATAAATCGTTCTCCCGAATTTTCAACGTCGAGCGGAAGGTACAGTGAAATTGACCGTAAATCGTAGCATTTTCCGCGCGCCCGATAATTTGCAGTTGATAAAATCACGTGCTCCAAATATGTCCACCAATAATCTGTATCTATTTAATGCGCAATAAAGCATTGAGTAAGCGCGTTAAGCCGTAAGAAAAAGGACGGAATTACGACGGAATAAATCAGAGATTATTCGTGCGGTGCATAATTCGCGTCCGTTGGTTTTATCGTCAATTTGCCATTTTTCGTTCACGCATGTGTGCGTGCTCGCGTGCACGCGTGTGCGGTATACGCGTGTGAAAAGCCATCGCCACGATCGACTCATCGTTAATGTACGCACTTCCGGTGACGAGTTAATCTCTGGTGGATCGATCCACGAATATGCAGCCCATTAAATGTCAAGCGACACAATTGATTCACGAGCGACTGAAAATTGATTTCTCGCCGTCAAAGAAAGTAGTTCATGCACGAGAATATACGAGTTACTTGGAAATTATTTAGATACTTTTAAGGGACATCTCGATCAATTTTCTGACAATGTAATCGCGACAAAAATGCAATAATGAGTTTCCGATTCAAATCTTATTATATTTTACAGATATTCTCTTTAATTTCACAAAGGGAGAGTCATAAATAATTTCGCTCTTTACATTCGTCATTATTTTTTATCTGTGATTTCTACAACTTATCGCTCGGTTGCCAACCCTTCAATAACCGGAGCTATTCGAAATCGATTGTGGAACACTTGGAACACTTGTGGAATATTCATTCGAGAATATCGCTTCGCTGCTCGCATGTCGGTACAAAGATCGTTGGTAATTGCCCTGGTTTGCTTTCCCAAGCGACATCGGCGATTAAATGTCGCTAATACGAGGAAGCCATCGCGACGAACTTACCGTTCTCTCTACGACATACACCCAGCCTTTGTAGCCGCGGAAATTTATGCAAATCGGATACGATTGTCGGTTCGACAACACGAGAAACGAGAAGACAGATCGGCGGCAATTTGTTATTAACTAAATCCACGATGCACCTGACAGAGGTCAGAATAAATTTGTGTTCTTTTTTCCTTTTTTTTTTCCCTCTACTACAAGTGCACGTGGTCGAGTGCGCCATCGAAAAACCTTTTGCATAAAAAAAAATATCAACGAATCACTGTGGTGTGCGTATGTCTCAATTAAAAAAGGTAACAGCAAACGCTCTGCTCAAGCGACAATCCAATTATTTCTGCCATTTTATCATCTGTATCTATGATTAACAGGAAGCACGTGGCTCTCTGCGCGGGCCGATTTTTGAAGAATCGCGAGGCGATTCGAATGTTACAAAGTGACGACGATTATAAACGAGAATTCTACATTTTATAATCGTTATAGTATTTTTCATCGTAAAAGATTCCTACAAGATCGGGAAGTCGCAAGTTTGAAAGCGACTTCTGGGAGCGAAATGAATAACAGGGGAAAAATACGTACGTACAAAGTTGTCGCGTTTCGATCCCGCGGAAACTTTTCAATGATGCTCAGCGCCCGAAAATCGAAGCTTTCATTAAAAAGTTACGGGAGCTAGCTGGATACCGTGCTCGCGCGGACGAAATTAATTTGTTTCTTGCCGCAATGCGAGCGATATTAAGGGAACTAGCGCGAATCGAAGTCATTTCGCCGTTGCGAGACGCCGATTAATAAAAAGCGCTTGCAGATCTCATATCGACGAATCGATAACCGCATTTTATTTGCATTAATCATTATGACGTAATGTACGTCTCTGGTCGTAAATTAAGTATATCAGGCCAGGTGAATGCTGTTACCAACTACGGTAAATGCCTTTTTGCCGAATATATCGAGGATTTCAATCAAAAGTTGTAATTTTAGAATAACTGTTTCCTTTCTCTTTGAAACAAACGTCGTTATAATCGATGGAACTTAAAATATTCAGACTTAATACATTAATCTTCTGGCAAAGCTTTGACCTTCGACACTGTTCGAAGATACAAAATGTGTCATTTATAAAAAAAGAAAAAACGGATTCCTGCTTGAAATAAGAACAAACAGCACTTCAAGCAATGCTAATTTATAAATAAAAAATGGACATATCTCTTAAAGGACTTCTGCAAATCTATTTTATATGAATTCTATTCGTATAAAACAGAGTTTTAAACAGAAATGTTCGTCAGTGTTATCGATCTCGAATAAAATTTCTGAATTCGTTATGACAATTCCGAAGAATTTTAACGCGAATATGCAAATGTATCAACATGTGTTCACTTTAAAAGTAACTTCTTGTTGCAAGGGCAAACCTCGATGTAACTGACTAGAATTAAAATTCGCTAACTCGCAACCTGCTGATCCTAAAGGGCTGCACCGTGAAGCGAAATTCTTCACGCCCTTCGCATGAAAAGTGCCTTTCTCACAGGAGATCAAACATCACCGCAACTGATCTGAATGAGAATTCGTGAAGACGCTAACCTTTTAAAACTTCTGTACGTCTTTCATGAACTGTTCAAAGACGAGTAAAAAGCAAATTTATTTTCTTTGCGTGAAAGTAAATGTTTCTGCAAATATATATATATAGAACTGTTACTAATCTGTAACAGAAATAATTGAAGAGCTGCTTTAAAAGTGTTTTTCATGCATGCATTATAAGTGGGATTTAAAATTTCCGTATATGCAACACTAATTCCGAAGAATTATTCGACATAAGAAAATGTGAAATTTAGTTCACTGAATATGAATGAAATACGAAATTTAGTTCACTGAAATTAAAATTACAAAGTGAAAAGTTATACGTTAAATTTATCATTTTGTATTATAAAATGAAAAATAACAAAATTTTTTGTAATAAAATGTATCTTATTAAAAATTAAAAATATAGAAATTTTAAAATAAGCACACATAGTAATAAAATTCACAAGTCTCAAAATATTCGCTTAAAGAAAAAATTGTACAGATTTTTGTTATAATTTTCACGTCACAGTTGTAAGATCCGCAAGGCTGTTAATTTTTGGAAAACCCAAAGTCCGTGAAATTTAATTTTCTTGCGAATTTGTCCGCGATCGATTTGAATGAAAAGATTCGCAAACCTTCAGCGGTAATCCTGGAAGAGTTTCACACATCTTGCGGACGATTCAATGATGCTGCTGGAGCGATGCATCCGAGGAACATTAATGATGACATCGCCTGTTCCCTTATTCTCATTCACCCTTTGTCGGGGATGCACGTGATTCAGCGGATCGAACGCGAGTACCGAACGCGACCGCACGGACTGAGGAACGCCGGTAAACTGATCGGGATCCTGATGGTCCTCCTCTGCGGAGGAGACCTCCGGGTACAGGACGAGGCGCGCAAGCTCGCCGCGAACGCGAGCACGAGCGGGAGATCGCGGGAAAGCGTGTTTGGAGAAAGCAAGAGAGAAGAAGCCAGAGAAGGCCGGGCCTGATTTAATCGTAAAAGGTAGCAGGACACTAAGGTGCGGGGGTGCGTCGCTTCAAAGGATAAAAAGCTCTGGTAATTTGCACCGGCCCGCAAGCCAGAACGAACGGAGAAGGCAACTCGCGTTTCTACAAGACAGCCTAAAAAGCTTACTCGAATGCGCGATATTGAGAGACAGTCGATGAAGCGTGACATCGACGTCAATATGTAATAGTGACTTTTTAAATTTATTTAAAAAAGTGTGTATAGACACGCATATATATGTAATCTTTAATAAATTGAAAGTTAATTTATCAAAATTAATTTACGTCAAAGTTAATTTAAAGGAATTCGGGTAGTTTCTGTACTTTGGATTTTCCAAAAAATTAATACAACAGCCTTGTAGATCTTATAACTGTGATGTGAAAAATTATAAGAAAAATTTGTATACTTTTTTTTAATTTGAAACGAAAAATTTGAAACTGCGAATGTTATTACTTTGTATAATAAAGTTAATTTATGTCAAATTTTGTTTACATAAAAATTGTTAAATTAAAATTGTTCAATTAATTTTAAATCAAATTTTTAAACCAATTTAAAAAGTAAAAATCTGTATTGATTTAGATTTAAATTTAGTGGTTTCAAAATTAATTTTTAGTGAAAACTGTCAGAGTTTACATTCATATTAACTTACTGAGAATTTTATTCGTGTCGTTCAAGAGTTACATATCGAGATAAATCATTGATAGACATTTAACCATTGATAGATATTAGATATTGACATTTAACCATTGATAGATATTAGAGTCAATATTAATATCCAGATCGAAATATTACTAATACTATACTTTGTACCAAAAAATGGTATGAATAGCTCTATAGTATCGTTAGCATTTCAAACCGAAGCTTTTGGATCAGAACGCATTATCGACTTTGTATTTCGCCCTTGGCCGTTCGTGCCATGTCGCTGTTATCGAGATCTTTTGAGGTTCCAAAAAAGTTTGTACGTCGTTTTGTTGATCGATGAGCGCGGCTTTTATATTCGAAGGCAAAAGACGCGACGTTGATATTAACTTCACGAAGAACTTTTTAATTTTTGTTCGATTGATATCGCTATGCTTTCGTACAGTTTGTTGAAAGGTGAATAAAAGATAAAATGAGTAATGATGCCATGGTAAATGCAACAATGAAAATATCTTGCCTACAAAGGCCTAAAAATCCTAACAAAATTTAAAAACTGCAAAGTATAATCAAAAATATTTAAATACGTAACAGATATTTAAAAGATTCGAAAAATTAGGATATCTTTCACATAGCTTGTGTTATTTGTTACACACACACGTAATGTTATTCGAAAGCGTTTTATAAAAGCGTGTCCATTTTTATCATAATTTAATTCAAAATTCTTATATACTGACTTAGGGATTCGTTGTTTAAAGATTAAGAGACAAGAGAAAACTTTTCCAGTTAAAAAGTCAGCAACGACGAAAAGTTTCGGAAGCTTTTCGCCCTATGACAATTGAAGAATTACTTTAGTGTTATGCTGCTATATAGTATATCTTCGCGAGAAACGATTTAACTTTATAACGATTATCCATATGGCATGAGTTTCTTCATGCAATAGCTCATTTATAGTTTGCAGATATATTCATATTTATATTCATATCAAACGTTTATAGGATTTTTATATGTATAGTATGTTAGATAAAAAATGTCTAACCATTATTCCAATAACTTTATCATGAACAAATAACAAATATTAATTTATTACTTGCTCATAAAGTTATTGGAATAATGTCTAAACATTTTCCGATATATATCAAGCCAATATTTGAAGTTAAAACTTGTAACCCTAATTTTTAATATTAAGACTCGAATTTTATATTTCGCTCCTATTTCTGCCACGATAAAATTTATTTAGTAGCAAATAAGCTTTTATTGTTCTAATATCGAATTTTAATTTGCATCTACAAAACACAAATAAAAGTACACATATAGAAATATACTCATATGTATGTAAATCTTTTTTTAGATTCCGTTTCTAAACAATTTCATGATTCTTTTTAATGAAATGTAATGAAATATTGACGAATCGATTTCAAAGAATCTAGATCTATCATTAATACATACATACAATCAACAAGAATAGCAGAATATAAAAAATGTTACTGCAAGATTGCGATATCAAATTGTTATTTTTAAAACAGTTAATTCAATATTTTATTGGCACGAAGTGCCACATACATTCTCATATGTTCTCGATTTTCTCATTGATTTTACGATTTAACTTTATTTAACTTTATTTAATAATTTAAATATTCAATCAATAGCAGCACCGCATGCGTCATCAACAGCATTGTACATATTCTTTGTTTATTTGATCAAGACAATAGCCCATGACCAATCTAAGAAACAAACTGGATCGCGAGGAACAAAAGTAGATGCGGAGTGCAACGAGCGAAGGTCTCCAGTACGATAATTGAATCGACCTTTATCGACGTGATGCTGAGAGCATTGTTCTCCAGTATCTTCTATTGGATAGTGAGATTTGGTGCGTTTCCATGATTACCGTCACGGTAGAGTGAAGGTATCAAAGGCATCCTTGTTCGAAGATGCAACGGCGTTATATTTCCTTCTGAGCATTGCACGCACATTTACGATGCTCGTTGAATTTATGACTACTTTACAACAAGCCTCGCAGAGTACGTCGGTTCCGACGGGAAATCGCTATTCTCTGATTTTATTTGAGTCATGGCTGATGAACGAGATAGCGTATCTTGGTACTTGTTAGAAACACGTGAAGACAATGAATATTACTGCTACACGAAGGGCATTATTTGTCAAGACGTATAGATGTGTCGCACTGAGCGAAATAAGTTTGTTACAGGATCAAAAAAGAAGGATAACAATGTGATAGTTTGATAGAAAAACGGATCAATCAGTTACTATTGTAATTAATTTCTTACTATTCTTTAATTTAATAAATAATACGCGATTTACGACTTAAATCAAAATAATCAGTACTGCTAGCAAATAAAAGTCCACAAAAAAATAGGTTTTACATAAATTGCTTTTATTATTAATAATTGATTGAAATAGCAAATTGTTGTGATTGCATCAATCACAACAAATTAAAGCAATATAATTTGTTTTACAAACGCATCTACAAATCATTCGTTAAAGGTACTGCACTGAAAAAAGAAGTGTTTAATTTTAAGATATTAAAATGTTTTATTCTTGTCTCCATTTTTGAAACACTTAAAGATGTTTAATTTTAAATTTTTTCAATAGATAAAACACAATCACTACGTGTTTGGATTTAAAACAATGTACGTTTTAAATCCAAATACGTAGTGTTTTGTCTATTGAAAAAGTTTAAAATTAAAACATCTTTAAGTATTCAAAACATAGGGACGAGAATAAAACACATTACTTTTTACAGCGTGATGACTTGTTAAATTAACAAATTTTTTTCTCTCAGTACGAGTATTGCATTAAAAGTGATGACACAATATTCTGTACATGAATGTAACGTGAAAAAATCATGAAACACGCATGCTGAGAAATATAATCTAAATAACACACATCCCCTACAAAGCGTTAAAAAAGCGTTTAAAAAAAGTGTAAGCGCTTTTTTAGCGCTTTGCAGGCGCTGCCATTTGAAAGTAAAAAAATCTAATAATTAGAAATATGTAGATCAATAGATGTATACACCGTCGCCCCCATTTTCTTTTTGTAAGATCGAAATTAACTCTACTATTATTTAAGGGCGTTTGACAGGTTAACATACGTAATTTATTAAAAAAAAAAAGCGTGAACTCGCTTTGCTGGTGAAAATCGCTTTCCCTTGGCTCGTGGGATCGAGTATGGATCGAGCGACGGGTTAAGTGAAAAATGAGTTCGTGGTAGTAGAATAAGAAGAGGGAGGGAGATTAAATGAAAAATGAAATAAAGCTAAATTGGCTCGTCCCAAAAATCCAAGGATGTGCAAAGAAACAAGAAGACGACTCGTCTCAAAGAGCCATGCGCCTTGACAGTCCGGAATAAGTTTCAGACACGGATGTGTATCTCGTGCGTGTTCTTCTTTCGAGCAACTCCAATTATCCAAAAAGTCATAATCGCATTAACGTACAGCTAAGAGCTATGTCGTTTGCTGTTTGAGAATTAATAGATAGTCACGCTTTTAAGGATGTATCCCCTTCGAAAGAAACAAGAGTAAAAGGCAAATCTTACTTCTTAAGGAATTTTATAAAGAAACAGCTCTCTGCGTTCGTGAAGAGCTCCATAATTATTAAGGAGCTTACGAAAACCGGAAAAGTCGCTACTGAGATACCTTGATTTTCTCTAACGATTATCTTTAAAACGCGAAAAGTATTTTATTCTAAAAAATATCTGCAAGCATTGGTCTACATTCATCGCGCTAATGCAGTGAATTTGATTATTACCAAAATATTACGTTTGTATTTTATTTCACACAATCAATTCTCTGCATTCCAAAAATGGACATCTAAATTTGTCTTCGGTAGAATGTGATTTTTTATTTTTAACTTGTTTACTTGTATATTAAATCCCTTTAATCTCCGGGGAATGTATAAATACATTCGCCATTGGAAAAGATTAAATAGCTTTCAATTTTACTTGGCAATATTTTGCCAGAGACTTTGGAAAATTACAACTTTGCGGTAATAATTACGAAATAACGGCAAATTATGATTGCGTTGCAATCATAAATTTCTAATAAACCATACGAATTTTGGTATTAATAATCTCTCTCAAGCACGATGATGGTCGAATCGGTCGATTATTTCGGTATTTTGTAATTAATAAATAATAGTGTTTTATAATCATA